TTTCCACAGAGGTTACACTAGTTTACACTCCCACCAACAGTGTAGAAGTGTTCCCTTTTCGCCACACCCTCTCCAGCAGCTGTTATTTTTTGAGTTGTTGATAATGCCATCTGACTGGAGTTAGGTGGTATCTCAGTGTGGTTTTGAATTGCATCTCCTGATGATTAGTGAGGTTGAACATTTCTTCATGTGTCTGTTGGCTGCTCGGATGTCTTCCTTTGTGAAGTGTCTGTTCATATCTTTTGCCCATTTTATAATGGGGTTGTTTGTTTTTTTCTTTTCAGCACATTTGAGTTCCTTTTAGATCGAAGATGTTAAGCCTTTGTCAGACTGGGTGTTGGCAAATACTTTTTTCCCAGTCTGTAGGCTGTCTCTCTGCTCTCTTGATGGTTTCTTTGGCTTTGCAGAAGCTTGTCAGTTTAATAAGATCCCACTTGTCTATTCTTATGCTTTGTCCACTTTTTAATGGGATTCTTTGTTTTTTTTCCTTTCACTTCATTTGAGTTCCTTGTAGATCTTGGGCCTTTGTCACATGCATAATTTGCAAATATTTTCCCTTTGATGGTTTCTTTGGTTGTGCAAAAACTTTTCAGTTTGATGAGGTCCTACTTGTCTATTTTAGCTTTTATGGCATTCACTTTTGGGGATTTGGTCAAGAATTCATTGCCTGTTCCAATGTGCATGAGGGTGTTTTTTCTTATTTTTTCTAGGATTCTTAGAAGAATCTTAGGTTTTATATTTAGGTCTTTGATCTATTTTGAGTTGGTTTTTATATGTAGTTATTGGTAGGTGTCCAGTTTCATTCTTCTGCATGTGGTCAGCCAGTTTTCCCAGCACCATATGCCAAATATGGTCTCCTTTCTCCAGTGATTGTTATTAATGACTTTGTCGAAGATGATTTGGTTGAGGGACTATTTTTTGCTTCCAGAATCTCTTGTTTCATTGTTCTATGTGTGTATTCCTGTAACAATACCAGACTTTTGGTTACCATAGCCATGTAATAAAGTTTAAAGCCTGAAGTGTGATACTTTCTGCTCTGTTCCTTTTGCTGAGAATTGTTTTGGATATTTGTACTCTTTTTTGTTTCCATATGAATTTCTGTTTTATCATTTCCAGCTCTGAGAAAAATGTTGGTTACTTGGTGAGTACCACATTGAATCTGTAGCTTGCCTTGGGAAGGACGGACATCTTGACAATATTCAGTCTTCCAATTCATAAGCATGATGTGATTTCCCATTTGTGTCATCCTTGATTTCTTTGAGCAGAATTTTGTCGTTCTTGTTGTAAAGGTCTTTCACTTCTCTGATTAAGTGGATGCCAAGATATTTCATTTTTTATATGGCTATTGTGAATGTGGTTGTGCTTTTTATTTGGGTCTCTGCTAGGTTGGTGCTGATGTATAGAAATGCAATTGTGTTTTGCACATTAATTTTGTGCCCTGAGACTTTTCCAGAATTGTTTATTAGTGTGATGAGGCTTTTGACAGACTCCCTAGGGTTTTCAAGGTAATGGAATCATATTGTCCACAAAGAGGGATAGCTCAACTTTCTCTTTTCTTATTTGGATACCCCTGATTCTCTTCTCTTGCCTGATTTCTCTAGTTAGGACTTTCAGAACTATATTGAACAGGAGGAATGAGGGTGGGCATCATTGTCTGTTCCCATTTTTAGGGGGAATGCTTCCAGCTTCTGCCCATTGAGCAAAATGTTTGCTGTGGGTTTATCATAAATGGCTCTTATTGTTTGAGGAATGTCTCCTCTATGCTTTTGGTGCTCAAGGGTTTTTATCAAGAAAGGATGCTGGGTTTTGTTGAATGCTTTTTTCTGCATCTAATGATATGATTATGTGGTTCTTGATTTTACACCTGTTAATGTCTTGAATTATGTTTATGATCTTGTGAATGTTGAACCAGAACTGCATCCCAGGAATGAAGCCCACCTGGTTATGGTGTATGATCCTTGAAATGTGTTGTTGGATTTGATTTGCTAGCATCTTGTTGAGAATTTTTGTGTCTATTGTTCATCAGGGAGATTGGCCTGCAATTCTTTTTCCTTGTGTCTTTGCCAGGTTTGAGTCTGAGTATGGTGTTAGCTTCATAAAATGGGTTGTGGAGAATTCCCTCATTCTCTGTTGCCTGGAATACCGTTAATAAGATTGGTAGCATCTCCTCATTGTATGTCTTGTAGAATTCAGCTGGGAATCGAGGCTTCTTTGGGTGGGGAGTTTTCTTATGACTGAATCGATTTCCTGGATTGTTATTAGTTTATTTGGAATTTCAATTTTTTATTGTTTTAACCATGGGAAGTTGTGTTATGTCAGAAAGTCCTCCGTTGGTTTTAGATTTTCTAGCTTATTTGCGTGCAGATGCGTATAGTAATCTCTGATAACCATTTGAATTCTTCAGTTGTGACTTCGCCTTTTGCATTTCTAATTGTGTTTATTTGTGTTATCTCTCTTTTTTAGTCAATCTGTCCAGGGGTCCATCAATCTATCTTTTTAAAGAAACAGCTTTTGGTCTTGTTAATCCTTTCTATGATATTTTTTGTCTTCAATGTCCTGCAACTGTGATTTTATCTTGATGATTTGGATTATTTTGCTGAAGTAAGATTTAGATGATCTCGTCTTTCCAGCTGCCTTAGGTATGACAGTAGGTGTGATCTTTCTGTTTTCTTGATGTGTGCATGAAATGCTATAAGTTTTCCTCTTAACACTGATTTCATGGCATCCCAGAGATTCTGATAAGATGTGTATTTGTTTTCATTTGTTTCCAGGAATCTTTTTATTTCTGGCTTGATTTCTGTGTTGACCCAGGAGTTGCTCAGCAGCATGTTGTTTACTATTCATGTCTTTGTGTGATCTTGGGGGATCTTGTTTGTGGTGATATTTATTTTTATATCACTGTAAGCTGAAAAGATGCATGGTATTATTTTGATCTTTTGAAATTTGTTCATAATTTATGTTCAAGAGTGCGATCGATCTTGGAGTACGTTCCATGTGCTGATGATGGGTGAGATGATAGGTGAAGTGTTCTGTAAATGTCTATGATATCTATTTGATAGAGCATCAGTTGAGTTTCTGAATATTCTTGTTGGTATTTTGCCTCAATGATCTATCTAGAGATGTTAATGGGAGATTGTGAGAGAGTTAATGTCCTCTCTTAGTTTACTGAGTAGTTGTTTTATAAAACTTGGTACTCCTGTGTTGGGTGCATATATGTTTAAGATGAATATTTCTTGCTGGTAGATTGAGTCTTTTATCATTATGTAGTATCCTTCTGTGTCCTTTTTAAGTTTTGATGGTTTGAAGACTGCTTTGTGTGATATCAGAATAGCGACACCTGCCCTCTTCTATTTGCCTGAAAGACCATTTTCCAGCCTCCAACTTTGAGCCTGTGGGAGTTCTTTGCAGTGATATGAGTTTCCTGGAGACAGCAGATTGTTGGATCATGCTTCTTTATCCAGTTTGCCACTCTGTGTCTCTTCAGTGGTGCATTTAGACCATTTACGTTCAAATTGATTATTGAAATGCAAGTGTTTTTCTCTGTCTTAAGTTTCTTTGGGGGTTGCTTTGTTTCCTTTTTACCTTTTATTTATACATGCATATGTTTTCATTTTTGTGAGTGTTCTGCATGCTCTGTTAATTCTGCTTGCCTGTACTTTTGTGATAGGTTTGCCCATTCTTTTTTATTCTGTGTTCAAACCCTTCTTAAGTGTCTCCTGAAGGGTTGGTCTGGAGGCAGCCTGTTCTCTTAGGAATTGAATGGGAAGGATTTTGGTTATCCATCACTGATGAAGATTAGCTTGGCAGGGTAGGAAATTCTTAGCTGAAATTGCTTATCTTTGAGAATGCTAAAAACTGGACTCCAATCCCTTCTTGCTTATTTTTTGCAGATAAGTCTGGAGTGATTCTGATGGGTCTTCCTTGATAGGTAATCTGAACTTTCTCTCTCACTGCCCTTAGGATTTTTTCTTGTATGCTTATTTTGTGGCGGCAGATTACTGCATGTCTTGGCGATGGTCTTCTCAGATGATACATTTTGGGGTTCTCTGAATCTCTTGTGCTTGGATGGTCACCTGATGTGAGATGTGAGAAGTTTTCTTGGATGACCTTATGTAGTATCCTTCTGTATCATTATGGAATGCTTGTTCCACAATGTTCTCTATTTCCTTTTCTGTTTCAGGGATACCAATCAGGTATAGATTTGGCTTCTTCATATAGCCCAACAACTCTTGGAGGCTTTACCCCTCCTTTTAAAACTTTTTTTCTATGTTTTTGACAGACTGAGTTTGTCCCCTATTTTGGCCTTTAAGCTTTGAGATTCTTCTTCTGTTTGGTTGACCCTACTTGAAAGTTACCTATAGAAACCTAGAAGAAACTTAGCTTATTCTTAGTCTTTTGGCCTCAGTGTAGTGATTAGCAAGCATTCAGACATTCTACTGAAGGACAAACAGCAGCCTATCCCATCCCCACTAGGCAAATCTTCAGATACAAGATCAGGACAGCCCAAATGACCACCCCTCCTCTTTGGTCAAGGAATTTGTGAACTGCAGATGTCTAACAAGTCTCTTACAGGAAATTCCCCTCAGGTTAACCTAGTCAGCCCTCTGTGAACTACTGACACAGATAAGCCCCGCCATGGCAGCAATCATGTGACTAACCCACCCATCTGCCTGCTGCCCATCATCTGACATCATCAGTCCCTGTGCTTGCCTGACCCGTTGTGATGATGTGGAAGTAGACCACCACCCACCTCACCCACCGATGCCCATTGTCAGCAGGAAGTAGCCGGACAGACAAAGGCTGCCCCTCTCCCGTATAACCAAAGAGGTGGGAATGAAGGGCCACCGCCAGCCACAAGTAGAGTCACATCCCCCTCCTTTCCTGGAAAGAGGCCTAAACCCGGCCCCCGCCTAAAATGGCGACCCAACAAACAAAGGGGGTGTCTGAAACGGCACCTTCTGGGTTCTTCTTCCACAGTCCAGCTCACCATTTCCCGTGCCCGCGAAAAACCCACCAACCTGGATGGAGCTCTGCCAGCTGACCAATAATAGACTGACAGGTCACCCTAAGCCCCCATAAAGGCTTGAGCGCCCTTGCCTCGGCGCTACAGTCTGACCCTCAGGTCCTGTAGCCACCGCGTTCGACCCATTAAATCTCTTGGCCTTAACGGGTGTTGAGTCCCACTGTGCGCCACCATCTTTCACTACTCCCTATACTTGTTACTGTGTTTTTAATTTCCAGGATGAAGTTTTTCATTTCCATTATTGCAGAATGGGCATTTATGAAACTGACCAACTCTGTTTTTACTTCCTCTACTACTTCAGTGAGTTTCACTTTAGTTTCTCTTGGTTCCTGTTCATTTTTTTTGCCATCCAATCTCTAATTTCTGTGACTGTCATCTGAGGAAGGTCATTCTGGGGGATTTCCATTGTTTGTGCTCTGATAACTGCTTTTTGGGTGCTGTCTTCTTAGGACTCTGAAGGCTGCCTGTGTTTTTTCATTGATTTTTTCTTCATTTGTGACAGGTCTTCTTCACACTCTATAATTCCTCTTTTGATTTGTTGCTTTGAAGCTATTCAATTATCTTCTGTTCTAGGGCTCTTTCTGTGGTTCAATATAGGTCTCTCAGTGAGAGAGAGAGGCATTTACTTCTGCTCCTTGCTCCACCTTTTGGCATGCAGTTTTCTTTATTGTTGATTTTTCTCTCCTGCTGTTAATCTAGTCTGGTTAGTTTTCCGCCCCTGCTGCTAGCACTCTGCAGAGAGTGGTTGGGGGGATGGGTCTCCCATCTACCATCTGGTTTACAGCCCAGGAGCCTTCCCACTAAGAAAGCCTTTGGTTGTCTTTTGTGTCACTCTCTCCCTGTTCAAGTCCACATTCTGCTTTTGAAATAAAGTGAGTTCCCTGTTACAGAGAAGGGTGGGCTCCTTCCTGCAGGAAGCAGAGCTTGCAGGAAGCAGAGCTTGGAGGTAATTCTTACTGATCTGGCTCGGAAGATGGTCACTAGTCATTGGTGGCAGGGGTCAACTAGGTTCACTCTGCAGTCAGACATTCCCCTGACTGTGAACTGGCCAACCCAGCAGAAGCCAAGCTTATGGTGGCTGGTCCAGTGCAGGTTTTTCCCCCCTGGTTCTTCAAGAAATATATTCTGAGAACAAGTTTGCCGGGGGTTTAAGATACAGATCCAAGATAGAGGTCCCCTCCCCATCAAATCACACATTTCCCCAACCTCCCACCACACACACACCACTATTCCCTTACTTGAAAAATCTGAGCACTGCAATTTTAAAATAAAAAATTAAAATTTTTATTTATTTTAAAGATCCCCTTAATGTCTGTAGCATCCGCAGTAACATTTTCTCTCCCACTCATGCTTTATGTTCAATTTGCTGTTCCTTTTCTAAATTGTCAATGTGATAGCTCAGATAACTATTTTTAGATTGTTTTCATTTCTATTATGAGTCTTTAAATGTAGACATTTTACTCTATAACTTGCTTTACCATGAAAGCATTTAGCCTAAACATGGTGGGTCACTAGTTTAAAATGTTTAAATTTTTTTAAAATTTTATTTTAAAGATGCGGGGTACAATTCAGGATTAGGTATACAAATGTTCATTATGCAGGCACCCTTGTTGAAGAGGTGTGCCCCCCACCCCAGGTAGATTCCCACTACTGCCAATCCTGCTTCCCTGCCCACGCCCTCTCGGCAGTTTCCCACACTATTTAACTTTAAATAAATTGAAATGAAATAAAATACAACATTTGGTGCTATAGTCACACTAATCGTATTTCAGTTGCTAATGGTCATCATACTGGACATCACAGAAGTCCCATCCCTGCAGAAAGTCCTACTAGAGCTGCTAGCTGATTAGGTGGGCGGGTCTCTTGCACAAGCAAGAATGGACAGCTCCTCCCCTCACTTCTCCTCTACTCCTCTTTCTCAATATCCTGGATTAGCATTTCCTGCACAATTAGAGAAGGGTGCAGTGCTCAGATTTTTCAGGTAAGGGAATAGTGGTGTGTGTGTGGTGGGAGGTTGGGGAAACATACAATTTGACGGGGAGGGGACCTCTATCTTGGATCTGTATCTTAAACCCCCGGCAAGCTTGTTCTCAGAATATATTTCTTGTTGGTTTCGGTTTCCTATTTGTGCTAATCTGTTAAAGTTGTCATCTGTTCTGGCGGCTGACACCTACAAATTAATGCCTTTTGGGGGGGCTGCTGCTTAGAGGATACTTGTTTTTGCAAATTAGTGATTCCTTTCGCTTGTTACAGAATTTATAAATAAACTTTAATTTTTCCAGGAATAAAGTTGGGTAAGTGAACAGAATTAGCTCCAGTGGAGCTGGAGGGGAGAACATTGGGATGTGTAAGGGACACAGCTTTATATGCAGCTACCCAAAGCCCACACACAGATCAGGACTGGAAGTTCTGCAGTTTGAAATTTTGTTATCTGGTTAACTATCTGCTCAATGCTACCTCTCAGGGAAACTGCCTGCTTAGAGACAGTCCCAGTTTCATTAGGAATTGAGATTGTCTTCAAGAGTTTGGAAGAGGGAGATGCAACCACCAATGGCTCTCTGCAGTCCAGGAGAAGCTTGGGGGAGGGGGTGGCGAATGGATGATTGTTCTTTAGGCAGAGAAAGAAGAACTCATCCACCAGAGCTGAGCACCTACAGAAACATAGTCTCTTGGTTTTGCATCTGTTGGGATCAACAAAGCAGTGTTAAAGGGCCCAGGTGCTGGAAGGACGACGTTAAGGAGCATTTAGAGACCCTCTGTTTTCTTGTTGCTGGTATCCTACTTCTTTTCCTAATACCAATCACCAAAATTGATTTTTAAAAAATTCTACATTTTCTTTTTCCTGGTTACAGAATCTATTTCCTACTCCTTATTCACAAAGGTAAAGAAATAACCCTTCTTTCAAAAGAAATGTCTGACTTACACAATAGTTTATGTTTTATATGTTTTGGTCTTCTATCTGGTGACTCTGTCCTTAAAAACCACTATTTTCTGTCTGTCTTGGTCAAGACCTTCTCCAACAAGAATTCTCCAAATGTCTTTCTCCATTGCAAAACGTTTGTAGGTAGCAATGAAAGAAAACATTAAAAAAATTATTACCATATTTTTGTAACACAAAGTATTAATCAATAAGACAAGAATTGCCATTTTCACAAATCAGATGTGGGCTTTACCTAGTGACCAAAGAGAGGATAGAAACAAAAGATTATCAAGCCATTTATTTAACAATATTTATTGAGAACCACTCTTTTTCTGGTATTGTGCTTGTCCCCAGGGAATAAAGGAAAATATAAGGCACACATTGTCCTCCCATCACAAAGCTAATAGTCTAAGAGGAGACAATAAAAACTCGGATAAATGCCTCTGTATAGCAATATGTATGCTGTAATAACTCGCTGGAGGACAATTAGACAATCATGAAGTAGACCACATCAGAGTGTGTTGAAAGTGGGTGGTGGTGTTGAGGGGTAGGGGTATTGGGAAAGACCTCTCTGGAGAGCCGAGGTTTGCAGGCTGAGCAGGAATGAGCTGGGTATTGGGTGAGAAGGGGAGTGTTCTGGGGAAATGGAACTTTTCTACAAAGACCTCTAAGGTGGAGGGAGCCTAGAGGATTCTGAGGACATCGAGGAGGCCAGTGTGGCTGAAACCGTGTGAAAGAGAAAGTTGATGATCATGCTGGACCTTACGGACCATTCTGAGGATTTAAACTATTTTGGAAAAGTCACAGGAAGTCACTAAGAAATCCAAACAAGGAAATAATATCAAATTTGACTTTTAGAATAATATTTGACTATAGAGTGGAAAAGGATGGAAGGAGGCTGGGCTCGGTGGTTCAGCCTGTAATCCCAGCACTTTGGGAGGCTGAGGCAAGTGAATTGCCTGAGCCCACGGGCTCGAGACCCACCAGGGCAACATGGTGAGACCTCAGCTCTACAATAAATCAAAAATTAGCCAGGCATACTCGTGCATGCCTGTAATTCTGGTTACTTGGAAGGTTGAGGTGGAAGGATCGCCAGGGCCCAGCAGGTCGAGGCTGCAGTGGCCATGAGCGTGCCACTGCAATCCAGTCTGGGTGACAGAGTGAGAGACTCCAACTCAAAAAAAAAAAAAGGATGGAAGGGGAGATGGTCAGTTAGGAGAACTGCTTCATTGCAAATAAATGACAGTGGGTTGGATTAGCATGAAGATGGAGAGAAATGAGAGCTTTTCAATATTTTTTATGAGTTGGGGTCTCACTCCATTGCCCAGACTGGAGTGCAGTGGCATGCTCATGGTCACCCCAGCATCAACCTGTTGGATTCAGGCGATCCTTCTGCCTCAGCATTCCAAGTAGCCGGAACTACAGGCACGTGCTACCATGCCTGGCTAATTTTTTGATTTGTTGTAGAGATGAGGTCTTGCCAAGTTGCCCAGGCTGTTCTTGAACCCGTGGGCTCAGGCAATCCTCTCACCTCAGCCTCCTGAAGTGCTGGGATTACAGGCTTGAGCTACCATGCCTGACCTCAATTTTTTGGAAAGAGAATCAATAGGAGAATCAATAGATGGGTTCAGAGAGAGTACGGAAAGAAGGGCTGTAAATGGTCCCATATGTTCTGCAGGAGCCACTGGCTGAATGGAGTCACAGAGGCAGGAGAGACTGGGGGTGGATGTCAGGGGCTCCCTTTCAGCTGAATTCTGTTTGAGATGTCCATGAAACAGCCACATGGGGGAAGGTTAGTAGGATATAAGAGTTTGGAACTCTGAGAAAGATGTAGATTACAGACCATGTATAAAATCATCCATCATAGAATTCAGGATAGAGAGGAGATGGGACCAGAACCGCTGCTGAGGAAGCACTGGAAGCATTTATGGTTGTGTACATAACATAGGAACAATCTGAAAAATGAGACTAAAAATGGAGATTTGGGGAGAGTTCAGGAAACGGAGCAATAAAATCAAAGTAACAAGTTTATGGCACAAAATACAGTGCAGGCTACAAGTGGTAGGCTACAAGTTGTTCTTCATTTTCCTAAAATAACATGATTATGTCTCTTAAGTCATCTACAGAAGTTCAGCTACAATGGCATCCCAATACCCCGGTGTGAGACCCAACCTCAGTAAACCAAGGACCTGCCAAGGTGAGAGGATGCTTAGGGCTTCCCAGGCTAAGCTTCCAGAGAGGAGAGCAGGCAGGGTGGGTGGGTACTCCTCCTGTTTTGCTAGCCAGTTTCATTCTGAGTGATAGGAAAGTATTTTCAACCCTTTAAAAATATTTCCTGCTCATTTATTCTGCTCTGTCATTTCTCTAGACTCTCTACAACTTTTCCTCAAGATGTGGCCATAACAACCATGTAGAAGAGAGATTAAATATCCTCAGATCAATCCAGGGCTGCTTAACTCAGTTTCTTACCTCTTGCTTCTTATAATGTGATCACACCAGAGCAGCTGGTTGTAGCCTCTCTTATGGTTTTCTGCCCCTCTCTTCATGCTGGGGGAAGATTGAGAATGAGAAATGTGGGAGTAATTGATCACTCATCCCAGTCTCTAATGTCCCTAATGTCCTGGCTCCTGGTAGTCTCACTATAACCAATAAATTAATCAGGCTGACTCATTTGGTATGTCACATGACCCTCCCTCTTCTCCCTTATCCATATAAATTGACTATGTCCGTTGAGCTTTTGCTGGTTTAGCAAACTATCCTACAATCTAGTAACTTAAAACATCAACCATTTTATTGGCTCTCCATTCTGTGGGTCAACTAGGCAGTTCTTTGGTTTGGACCAGCTCTACTAATCTTAGACACTCGTTCATGATCTGTGGTGAGCTAGTGGTTTGTATGCAGCTGGATGACCTTGGATAGCTGCACGGATATGTCTATTATTTAGCAGGCTCCTGGACAGGTCAGGGTTCTAGGGACCACCAGGTCCTATTATCATAATCCAGTAAGTTAGTTCAATCTTCTTCATAAGGCAGGTTCAGAAAGAGCTGAAAGAGAAGGCAAGTCACAATGCATAAACACTTGGAGTCTCTGCTTGCATCATGCCTTCTACTGTCTTACTGTTCAGAGCAAGTAACATGGCCCACTCAGATAAAGGGTTAAAGAGACAGACAGCATCTTGATGGAAAGAAGCAAATCCATATCCCAAAGAGACACACATACAGGAATGGGTATAGTTTTTACCTATATTTGTAAATCTCCCCATGGATTGTCATCCGTACCCTATCAACATTGGCAAAAACTGTTACTGTGTTGGAACTGACTTTTGGGGCCTTTCATTTTCACCTCCCATGATATTTCTACTCCCCTCCCTATGGCTAACCTTGGGATGGAGTCATATACTCTGATGCTAACTAAATAAAAATGTGAACACAAACACACATTTTTCCTTAGATAATCTTAGCTTTGTTTTACCCAGCGTTCTTAGTCATATAAATTTTGTAAATATACTTATTTTGCCCCAGGATTCTGGTTATCAAACATGGGAAGCTCTGTCTTAAGGATAATGATAGGTTGTATAACCCACCTCCCTGGCTTCTTAACAGGAACAAGAAATACTTCATTTTGGATATAAATGGAGAAAATAAATCTCCACTTCACATGCCCCAATGTCAAGTCTTATGTCATGTCTTACACGGCTATCAGTGGAAAAGCTATCAGCAGCATCTCATAGTTTTCTTATGAAACCATTTTATTTTCTCCCCTGTGGACTACATGAGATCAACTAGAAGCTCAAGGGAATCTTGAAACGAGAGGCTGAAGGTAGGAGATTAAAGGAAAGGCCCATTGCCCGAGTATTGCAAGATGAGTACCAGGTCTAGTGGACTTTTTATAAGTTTCCTGTGAGTGCAATGGTAATGCAGGGTTGGGTTCACAGTCAGACCCACAAAAGAGCACTGGGGGATGGGGACTATACAGGGAAAACTGTTGGAGGTAGATTCTAATAATGGTTTGTTTGTTTTTATGTCCAAGGGCCAGGAAGTCAAGACCCCAGAAATTCCGAACTGAGAATTATCTTAGTGGGTAAAACTGGAGCAGGAAAAAGCGCAACAGGGAATAGCATCCTTGGAGAGAAAATGTTTAATTCTGGCATTGCATCAAAATCTATTACCAAGATCTGCAAAAGAGGGTGGAGCAGGTGGAAGGAAACAGATCTTGTTGTGGTTGACACACCGGGAATTTTCGACACTGACGTACCGGATGCCGATACGTGCAAGGAGATTGTACGCTGTATTCTCCTGACCTCCCCGGGGCCTCACGTTATACTCCTGGTGGTCCCACTGGGCCGTTACACTGAGGAAGACCAAAAGGCCACAGAGAAGATTCTGAAAATGTTTGGAGACAGGGCTAGGAGGTTCATGGTTCTCTTATTCACCCGGAAAGATGACTTGGAGGACACCAGTTTCCATGATTACTTAAGAGAAGTTCCAGAAGACCGTCAAGAGTTGATAGGCAAGTTTGGTGGTCGCTGCTGTGCATTCAACAACAGGGCAACAGGAGTTGAGCAGGAGGCCCAGAGAGCAGAGCTGCTGACTCTGGTTCAGCGTCTGGTGAGGGAGAATGAGGGAAGATGCTATACTAATAAAATGTACCAAAGGGCTGAGGAGGAGATCCAGAAACAAACCCAACTGAAGCAAGAATATTACAAAGCAGAGCTGGAGAGAGAGAAAAAGCAGATAAGAGAGGAGTATGAAGAGAAAATCAGAACACTAGAAGATAAACTCGAGCAGGAAAAGAGAAAGGCGCAAATGGAGAGGGAATTATTAGAAAAGGAGGCTCTCTGTTCTAGAAGGCAGCAAGATGCCAGAATGGAAGTTGAGAGTCAGAATTGGATAATTGAGTTAATCATGAAAGCACTAGAGATTGCTTCCCTTGTTATCTCACGTGTATTTGCGGAAGATTAAACTTAATGAGAAATTGTCTATATTTTCTGCATATTCTCTAGCCCCATTCTTCTTACTTACAAAGTCAGAGTGCTCTAGTTTCTGTCTCTCAGGCTCTTAGAACTAAGGAGTGTAGGGAAGTTCAACACAGGCAACTGGTAGATGTTTGATTGACTTAACAGGAGAGTAGCGACAAATTCTAAATTTGTGAGACTCCAAAGTAGAAAGTATCGATGTTTGCTACCTTGTGAATTATTCCTTAGACACACAGAGAAGAGGAATGCAGGAGACCAAAGAAGATGACTCCAAGCTATAAGTTGTTTTCCCTAGTAAATGTTTCTCTTGTAGATTCTTTATAGACTGGCAGATAATCTCCTTCTCTACTCACTTATTTTTGCCTTTAGGACCACTGTGATCATCTTATCCATATGGTTTATAAGAAAGATCAATTTTTTGTTTGCATTAAGTAATCTTATAGAGATGATTGTAGAATTATTTCTAATGAATGTCAATTTATTTCGTTTCATTTTCCTTATCATCTGCTCACTGAACAACAAGGTCTTGTCTGGAAAACAGATCTCTCAAAATTCAACTAAATAATAATCTCCATATGCCAGAAAGAGTGAAAAACAGCAATTCAACAGATAAGAGAGCAATGGTTAGTACATTTGGGTGTATTGTAGAAACTTTTCGACCAACCTCAATTTAATGACAAACCATTTCTCTGCTTTTCTTGATAAACAAAGGGGTGGTTGCAACCCCATCTTCCACACTCCATGCCTTGTGTACTTATTGCTTGGTAGGTCATTCACACACTTCTGCCCTCACCTGCTGAATTGTCTGCTTGCTGATGTTATAATAAAACTTTTCAGTTCTCTCATGTTTGTGCAGAATTGGATTCTGTTTTGTTTTGGAAAATACCAGTGCAAATTATATGGTTATGAATTTCACTTTTGGTAAAGGTTCAAGATGATTTTGGAGCTAGACTTGTTCTACCCTCATGACATCCTCCCTTACCCTTTTCCCTAGAAGGCTGAGCCACATTCTTAACCCATCTACTAGCCAAAGAACCAACCTCCTTGGCTCTTCATGATAGGCTGGTAGAAATTATGTGTAATTAAGGCTTCTGAGATCTGGGCAGTTTTGTTAATGCAAAATTCCCTTTAATATAAAGATGACAATAGTTGAAGTTCCTATCCCTTTTCTACTTTTTTTAAATAGCTTCTTCTTCTTCTTCTTTTTTTTTTTTTTTTTTTGAGTTGGAGTCTCACTCTGTCACCCAGACTGGAGTGCAGTGGCCACTCCCAGCCACTGCAGCCTCAACCTGCTGGGCTCTGGTGATCCTTCCGCCTCAGCCTTCCAAGTAGCCGGAACTACAGGCGCATGCTACCACGCCCAGCTAATTTTTTTTTAAATGTATTGTAGAGGTGAAGTCTCGCCAAGTTGTCCAGGCAAGTCTCCAACCCGCGGGCTCAGGCAATCCACTCACCTCAGCCTCTCAAAGCGCGGGATTACAGGCTGAGCACCAAGCCCGGCTTACTTTTTTAAATCGGTTCTCCTCACCTAGTAATTTCTAGAAATCCCAGAAGCCTGTTTTCATGTTTTACCAACAGATTCTTGTGGTCACATGTGACTTATGCCAACTTTCCATTTTCTGCCATTTTGAAACTGGATTCTCCAATGCCCTAAACCATTTTGTCTAAAATTGGATACACAGCTCTTCCTTAGTTCCCCAAAGCACAGTGAGTTTAAACTGTACATTTAGCAAGAAGTAGCAAAGCGTTGAGGATAAGAAAAGCACTATACAAAGAAGTGCATGATTCCTTTATAAATAATCACTCAGATTAAGACATCTTCTGTCTCATGCTTCAGAATGTTGGTGTACTTTGTGTCTATTTGTTTCCTCATTGGAGTTTTAACCAAAATTCTAAGACATGAATTTCACATCCTATCTTATTACAACCCTCTGGAAGCAAACATTTAAGCAAAATGCCACACGTCACTCAAGTGAGAGTGAATTCAAGTTTAATATGAAAAAAAGTCTTTAACTGCGGTGGTTATTTTCTTATAATGCACACTCAATTATTATTGCCCTTGCATTCAGGTTAATGTGGTAGATGAAACAAAGGTTCTGCCCTTGAGAAGCACTGAGCACATGATAAGCCCATGTGCAAAATTCTGAGGATAGTGTTGCCTATTTGCCTCCCAGAGGAGAGGGCAGACAGAAGATCCTTGGCAAATACTATGCCCTGTGAGTAATATGAGAGGAAAATGAGGCAAATTCCCTTCTCTCAAGAGTTCTGGGAGTTTATACCTATTCAAGCACTCATTAGCACTCCTAGATTACTTGTATTTCCTGGTTGGTTTTAAACCAGACATTGAGAATCTAGAGATGAGTAAAAGGGAGTCTCTTTTGAGATTGTGTTCATTCATCTCATATTTTGAAAATCATCTGAGTTGTGTGTATCAATAGCCTGTTACCTTTTACTGCTGAGGAGTACTTCATCATCTAATGCTCCACAGCTTATCACTTCTTCTTTACTTATTCTTAGGCATCTAATTGATTTATCTTGTTTGATTGCATTGGCCAATACCTCTGTTATAATATTGACTAGTAGTGGAGATGGTGGGCATGCTTGCTTTATTCCTGGCAATGCCTCTAGTGATTCCCAATTAGATAAGTAAGGTAGTGAACTGAAATAGTATCACTGATCTACTTTCTTTCTTTCTTTTCTTTTTTCTGAGTTAGAGTGTCACTCTGTTACCCAGGCTGGAGTGCAGTGGCACACTCACCGCCACCCCGGGGTCAACCTGCTGGGTTCTGGCAATACTTTCGCCTCAGCCTTCCAACTAGCTGGAACTACAGGCACATGCCACCATGCCTGACTAACTTTTTAAAAGTTAATTGTAGAGATGAGGTCTTACCAAGTTGCCCAGGCTGGTCGTGAACCCTGGACTCAGGAAATCCTCTTACCTCGACCTCCCAAAATTCTGGGATTATAGGCGTGAGCCACTGCACCTGGCCTTCTTGCATCTCTTATTCTGAGTTAACCTACCTCTTACATATTATGCAGAGCAACTCAGCGGAGACCTAAAATCTCCTTTGCTTTAGAAAAGTTACTTTTCCCTTTCCCTTCGTTGGCATGGAAGGTGTACACAACTTCTATGCTCCTCCATGCAAAGTATGAAGAATGAAGGGATGCCATGATTACCACAATGCCCAGAGAGATCTAGAACCACTAGGGTCAAGGGGCAAGTGTTCCCATAGAGAAGGCAAGCATAAGTAATTTAGAGGTGAGCCAACATAGCAGAAGGCAGAAGATTTCTACATCTTGTTCCTACTGGCCTGTGACCTGGTCTTTGTGCTTCATCAAGACACTGATCTCTGCCCCCACCTCTTCTTTCTCTGTATCTCAGTGTTCCACTGCAGAGGATGCCTTTTCCTGCCCACACCCTCCCAAATCCCTCCAATATTCAGTTATCTGCCCAAGTTCAATCTCCTCCCACATGTCTTTTCTGAATGTCTGGATCCCAGTGGCCTCCTTCCCCAAGAGGCATTTAATGTGCCATTTGATGTGACAATGCCTTGAACTGTCCTCTACTGTTTCAGGTCTTTATGCCTCATTTCTGGAAATAAACGATGGTCTTCTTGGAGGGCAAAAGATGCTACCCTTTTCATCAATGGAGGGCACAGGTCTTGCTTCACAAACACCTGAACTTGAGCCCCTCATTGCAGACCAATACTCTTAGTCAGCTCTCTGGCCTTGATTCTCAAATAAGGACAATGATGCATACTCCAGGGAGCATGTGTGAAGACTGAATGAGACAAGTGTACTAAGTCTCGGGTGTCTGATGTAAAATAGCTGCTCAGTGTCTGCTGATCAAGAATGACTAGGGCAGCCCATCACCCAGTCATGTTGGAGGCACCCAGGTTCTTGCCAAGGAATTTTAAGAATCATTTTGTGGATCTAAGAGATGGGTATTGTTTACTTATTTTTTATATCGATTTTTAAATTATGATATTGTGGGGTACAGTTAAGGGTTAGGTATACAAATACATTTCATTCAGGCACTTTGTTGATAAGAGGTGTTTCCCCGTCCCCAGACAGATATTTGCTACCGCTAATCCCATCTCCCTCCCCGCGCCCATAGTTTCCCACTACTGTCAGTCATTTTCTTATAGGATTACATTGGATATTCAAGGTCCATTATATGAGTGAGAACATGTGATACTCAGATCAATTGTTTCTGTGAGAGGTCACTCAGTATTATAGACTCTAATTCCATCCAGGTTGCTGTGAAATTCATGATTTTGTTCTTCTTTATGGCTGTGTGAGATGGGTACTATTTGAAAGAATTCATTAACATATTTTTAAAACTATTGAATCATAAATCAGTCAGAGCAAAAAAAGCTTCACTGTATTATAAATATCGACAGTGCATATTACTTCCTTATATTAAAATTGACTAGAAGTCATTATGTTTTACACTTAGGAATAATCAACATAACCTATAAAGTGATGCACACAAAATAGTCTCACATTAAATGATGTTTTAAAAATAGATGCAAACTAAAATGCAAGTGCTTTCATTAATTAGAGGGTCTGAAAGAAATTTGAGGTACAACGTGAAAGACAGGAAATTAAGATATTTCATGAGTCTGTAAGTTGTTAGTTCAGACAGCAAGGGAACAGTTAGAGTAAATAATATAGGAATTCCAAGTATCTGCTCATTTACCTTTTCAACTTTAGCCTGAGAATGTATTAACAGTTTTCTGATTGTTCACCCTGGGCCTTGCCACAAAAGTCACACGTTAATAACAGCTGTAGTGTGTGACTTATATTCTACTTTGTCACCAAGTTCATTTTGATATACTGAATCTGATGAGCTAGTAATTTTCCCTCCTATATGGTTTGGCAGGTTTGAGATTTTAAAGAGGAATACTAAAATATATAGCCTCCACCAACAATCTCTGGGGAAAGGAGAACCTATTCAGTAAATGGTGCTAGGAAAACTGACTGACCACATACAGAAGATTAAA